ATGATTTCTGCTTTAAACCATCACCCCAATTTTTTTTTCCCATGTTTATTCCTGAAAAAGTGAGCTCTCTATTGGATTAAAGATCGTTCCCTTCAGAGATGTGTGGCTCCCGGTCCAAAGTTCCAAAGAAGGGAAAAGAAAAGATTCATGTTTCTGGTGGTTACATTTTGTCAGGTTAGAGGTCTAGTTATCCGTGTGGCTGCGATGGAATCTGCAATATCTTGGCTCAGAGTTTCCTTTTTCTGGCTTACTAGGGGAGCCTCATAAGCTGGGTTCATGGTGCTGAGGCCGTTGTCAGGAACCGGTTCTGAGGCAGCCCCTCTCCCCCCTTGTTACTTTGATCTTGCAAACTGGGTCCCAGCTATCTGAACCCTGCACGTGGCAGCCAGGATTGCCGCCATCACTGCTATCAGCTAGCTCCAGTAAGTGTACGAGCTGGCTTCCACTGCGGTCCTTCTTCCTTCCTCTCCAGGCAGACCTTCCTTTCCCACTAGTTGGCCCTAAATTTTCTCTCCTGCACTACATACGCTGAAGGAATTCCTCAGCGTTTCCAGTAGGTAGATGGCACTCTTCTATGTTTGGACCTCTTCAGTGATTGCAGTGGAAATTTAGGAGGTGGAAAGGAAGAGCTTGGCTGTTCTCCGTATCTAGGGGCTCCCTATCCAGCAGATTCAACTAACTGTAGATTGAAAATATTTGGTAAAAAACAAAGTTTGAAAAGGCAACACTTGCTTTTGCCATACACTGGTAACTACTTACATAGCATTCATGTTGTATTAGATACCATGTGTAATCTAGAGGTGATTTAAAGTACATAGGAGGACACAGTGAAAGAGAATGTCACAATGAATGTATGTGTATATTCCTGAATAACTGAAGAATTGTGCTCTATGCTGGAATTTAACACAACATTTTAAAATGACTATAACTCAATAAAAAATTGTATATATATAAAATATTACATGGGAGGGTGCACATAAGTTCCAAGCAAGTCTTATGCCATTTTATACAAGAGGCGTCAGCATACATGGATGTTGATGTCTGCAGGGAGTCCTGGAACCAGTAGCCCACGCTTACCATGGGATGACTGGAAGTCCAGCCTCCTTATCCCAGTTTTGAGGTCCCCACGTGCTCTGAATGCTTCCTGTACCACACTCTCTCAGTTACTCTCCTCCAGCACTGCCAGACTGCCCTCTGATTCTTCAACAGGCCACATTCACTGCACTTCATGTCTGGCTCCTAGAAACACCCATTTCTTTCTGAGCATGGCTCTGCTTTAATAAAATGGGCTGCATTGTCACTAGAAAAGACAGTGTGGAGGTTTCTTTAAAAACTGAAAATGGACTTAACTCATGATCCAGCCTTCCCACTCCTGGGCATAGATCAGGAGAAAACTCTAATTCAAAATGTCACATGCACCTCAATGCTCACAGCAGCACTATTTATGATAGTCAGGACATGACAACAACAAAAATGTCCATCAACACGTTACTGGATAAAGAAGTAGTAGTATAGTTACACAAAGGAATACCACTCAGCCATTAAAAACAACAAAATAATGCCACTTGCAGCAACATGGATGGATATGGAGACAGTCATCCTAAGTGAAGCAAGCCAGAAAAAGAGAAAAATGCCATATGATATCACTTATATGTGGAATCTAAAAAAAGACACAAATGAACTTAACTACAACAGAGAAATAGACCAAAGACATAGAGAAACAAACTTATGGTTACCAGGGTGAGAAGAGGGTGCGAAGGGATAC